TTCTTTTTTCTGGTACAATAATCTTTATGAAAAGAAAAAAATCAATTATTTACATGTGGGCGGAATGCTGCCAGGTTGTTCAGGCCAAAGTAGGTGAATTTTTTAAGGGAGTTCACAAATGGAGTCTTTGGTTAACCAAAGCCGGACCCGCAAGGCATCGGGTCGGTGTGTGAAAACCGCAATCCATTGAGGGCCGGTATCCAATTCATCGGATCATACGTCCTTTGGACGGGGTCAAACGTCCAAGGTGCTCAACACACCTCGATGTCCAACTAAGCTGGTGACCACTGCCACGAAGTTGTGGGTGGGTGTGGTTCGTACTCCTCCTCTTGGATGGTTTGGCATCAAGGTTTATGGTCAACTTCCCTAGGTGACCTGCCAGGGGTTCACCAACACGGTTATAGCCCCGAATATGGGCTCTTCGTTCTCTCTCTGTGGTGGGAAAACATCCGCTACCGGAAGGCAGTGAGTGAGGTTTCGTCTGCAGAAGATATTTGAGACGTTTGGTCGTATAGAAGCATTTCGCGAGGTGCAAGAGAAGGGTGACCAGCTACAACCCAAGACACCCATCCGCGACTATACTGAGGCTTTCGGTTGGTGCTGAGCTTGGTAGATATCGCTCCCCTTAGTCCATCTAAGCAACATCGCCTCGTTTGATGGTGTGTCTATTTGAATGGGTTCGCACGCAATCGGCACCATACGGCCATTAACCCTGCTCATTTTAGCTTTATTCACATTCTCCGATGCATATATTTATATTTATGTGAGTCTGTTTCATACCACTAAGTATCCTCGATCCCTGGTCCTTTTGGTAGTCACAGATCTCAATTGACCTCGTAATCCTTGACGCTAGCGATGCGGATCAGAACCTAAGTCATCATATTAGCTGGCTGGCTGGCATCCCTGTTATCATCCTGTAGTTCTCGTAATTCTTGCCCTGACTTGAACAATGACTACCGTTGTCGAATGAGATAACTCAATTCGAAACCACTGATAAATAGGACTTCGGGAACGGGACACGAGGACACACACCATATAGCAGATCGTTTAAATCGCTCCCAGTTCACGGTCGTCCGTAATGGATTTAATTAGTTGTTATTGTAGTTTTTAAATTTTGTACACTGTTTTCGGCATGTTGTCTATATCCTTACCAATTAGGAAAGAACAAATGGACGGTATGAACAGGTGCATCCAAACCGTGTACTTCTTTCTGTGAATGTTCATAGAATTACCGGTACACACCTGCGCGCGTGTGTGTGCGTGCATGCGCGTTAACCAGGGATAAGCTTTCATACAAGGTCACTGATGCATATAATCAACTGGTTGAGAGGGAGAGACTGGGAACAGTCCAAGTTTGGTCTGTTACGTACATCGCGGTTGCTCCTAGTGTTCGAACTACTGATTTCATGGGCGGTTAGCTTGTGTCGAACACATTTGGTATGGTTGGCTTAATTGCATTTCTCTGCGTGGTCCCACACACACACGTCAGCTGTTTTCTGTGATCGATCATCCCAGCTACTCGTGTATGTGGCTCGTTCCCACTTTCTCTCTCTCTCTGTCTGCGTCTCCCTGACAGTCCTCCTCCCCCGTTCCGAACTGATAGCCCAGTCCGAACGAACAATCCTCATGTGCGCGCGCTTCTTCTGCTTCTTGTTCCCATTTTCTGCTGCATACATACACAGACCAAAGACCAGAAAAAAATAGCGACTTCCCGAGACATTTTCCTATCGGTGTACACGTCAATGTGCACTAACCATGTGAGGACGGGATCAGATAGATAGACGTACACGAGTAATAGCGTGTATTGTCGATAAATTTAAAAAAACTATAGGCCCTTGCCAAATTGGTAACGATTTTGTGGTGATTACTCGTCACAGGGGTGGGGACTGGGTGGACGGATGAATGGATGCTAAGAACACTATACCAATTATTGTGTCTGGTTTTTAATAAATACATAACAGTGAAAGTGAACTGAATGAATTGTTTTCGGTCAGCCATTTTTCTCTACCTCCTTCTCTCTCGCTCAGCCAATACATGGCTGCAACTGGGGTTTACGAGCGAGCGAGTGTGTTGCCGAAGCAAGAAGATGAATGGCAGAAATGAACCGGGGATATTGTGGTCTAATCAGTTCCCGTAGGTTTTTCATCATCATCTACGAACCAATGGTATTCGCACAATAGGACATGAAGTTTTTTGTGTGTTGTCTTTCGCAAATGCTTCCTTGCATTCGGTTCTGTATGCGATTATTTACGCCGGTGCGGGGCGAGCAGTGGTCCGCACTTTTAAGGCTGTTAGATATCGCACGCACATCGGCTTCTTCATCTACGAGAACAATTCACTTTTATTCGGATCTGAAAGACGATTGATGTGTTCTTCTTGTTCCCCATCACTATGGAATATTCTGTGCAGACGGTTGATATAAAATTCATTAGTTATCAAACATTTACTCTTTTGATAGCTTTTGACCCTGGTTTTGGGTCCTATCTGAAAGTTGGATACACACCCTAGTATTACAGGTTTATTTTAAATAATCATTATGGATTTATTTGTCTCCTTCACCAGGTCTTGAATCTGATGCAAAAGTAGAATAGTGAACGACCACCGATTGGGATAGTTGCAACAACTTTGGCATATAGATGTCCACAATTAGTCTCGATAGACCTTATTTTTGATTATAGCCTTGTCACGTTCTCATAATTACCCTGAACCAACCAGATCGCAAACCGGGGCGCTTCCGTTTATTTTAATTGATGTTCATAAACAATTTCCGGCATTAGTGATTGACCACATTGTCTCATCCATTCCAAATGCTTTTTAAGTTTTATTTTTTTCAATTGCTGTTTTGCCTTTCATCTGACGCTTTTCCTCACAGAACTGTTTTTCGAACATCCGCTCTTTTTAATGACTGCAGATCGAACTTGTTTTCCTTTTTCTGGCTGCCTTAAGTCGATTTTCGCCCCCCCCCCCCCCAGTTACTTCCTTTTCGGTGGTACGGTGTACTGCGCAGAAAGCGGATATTTTTCGATAGCAAGACATTCATCCGACGGAATCGAGTTGATTGTACCCATTCACTTCGGCCTATCTCTTGTGTCGGCTGTCCATCATGTGCCGCTTATCGTTTGCTATCCCATCCTACCGCTTCATCGGACAGGGAAATCCACAGGAGTTCTGGACGTCTGTTTCATCTTGGCGAATCGCCACTCATCACCTGTTCATACTATTGACATGGTTTGGCGCTGGGATGTGTGCGTGTGTATTTGTGCATGTATGCATGCTTTTTGTACGAATGCAGCAGAGATGTGGGCGATGCAGCTGCTACCAAGTGCACTCCGCATTTCACGAAACTACACCATATCTCTGAAACTCAGCCCGAATTGGGTCATACTAGCCCATTCTCATCATGATCTCACTGTATTGAAGTCAGCAATTCAGCTGTGATTAAACTGTTGATCGTCGGTATCATTCAGACCGAATGTTGTAATCGGCTGTGCGATTTGTTTCATCCGTGTATTAGGCGTCATTCCTCCCTTGAACATTTTTCAACGTTGTGAGAAGTGTTCCGTCGAATGCAAGAGAGCAAGTGAAATCCTTCACCTGTTTATGACCACAAGTTGCTCTAATTGATTTCTTCAACGCCTGTGTACCACAATGCAGACAGAAGATATAGTTCAACTTGGACTACTCATATACTATCTATCAGAAGAGGGTTCAGTCAGGAACATTGGTACATTGCAGAACTTATTAGGCAATTAAAAGGCAACTCTCACTAAGAAATGTACTTACACCCGCTCTTTGTAAATGAATGTTTTCACCTCCCCCATTTATTCATCGAGTATACAACCGTTCAGTTAATTTTCAGGAAGGGGGTCGCGATCATGCAAAGACTGCCTGGGGAGATTCACAAATAGAGACGATGGTATCTATACTAAACACACAAACGAACTTGATTGGTTTCTAGTCCAATACACCCTAAGGTCTTCAAAGCAGCCAATCAAATTTGATCAGGTACCCGGGATCTGTGGAACGTAGCTCATTCTCTCACTCTTATCCAATAAAACTGAAGCAGATGTGTGAATGTTGTACTCTTCGGCCGCATATACAGTAGACACAAAAGTAAACAGTAAGAAGACTGTACTATAACCGCACGCATGGTACTGCATTCCCACATGATTGTCTCCCGATAAAGTTTCTCGTCCAGATAGCGATTCCACAGATTCTTGAATAGCACACAGATGGAAGCGTGTAGGAATTTACTTATTTTACGTAAGCATATTTATTTACAGGGAAAGGCATATATATATAGCGTTTGGTTGACTGTATCGGTATCAGCCGACTTAGTGGGCTTTGGTTTTTGACCACTTGATTTAAGTTATCCTTGTGCTGATTTACTGTCCCTGAACAAAGCAGTTTCAAGGTGTACAGCGCCTCCCTGCCGGGACGGACATGTGATCGTAAATTGGCTAACCGTCCTCAAGTCATTCACTCGTGATTCTTGAGTTATCCACTGATGCGCCAATCTGTATTCATTTGAATCGCACACAAAAGGCTTCCGTCCTTCATGCGCTCTTTTTGCTAGGTTCGACTCAAGCAGCGTGCCATAAATATTTGTCTTCAGGTCATTTTTTGGTGGTTGTGTACCCGACAGCATGATGTGCTCCCTGTCTGCGACAGCTATCGGTCATTTTATAATCTCATTATGAAGAGTTGCGTGTTCCCATAACTCTTTCTATAGCTCGCATTCCGTCGCGATCTGCAGCTGTCTCCCCATTTAATCAGGACTTCGTATACCCTTCATTCTACATCAATGCCATATGTTCTAGCAGTTATGACAAATTCTAATTTGGAGCTGGTGTCGTTGGATAACAATTGGCCTAACATTGCACTGGGTGATAACCACCCTCTATCCCTCCAACAGTTGTCTCGCATCCCTATTCCGACCTTCTGCCACGGGTTCCTTCTCGACTGACCTGAGGTGAACTACAAGTTAGACAGACCGTGTCATGTGGTATGTGTTTGATTAGCAATAAATATGCAGTGGGAGCCAGATTCAGCAAGCATTTTCTGTTATAACATATCATGACCAAATGAAGTATGATAGTTCGCACTTCACGTTGCTGCCTGACCGAGACGACACTCAGACAGTAACCACCTCAGATTTATCTGGGCAAGGCTATGCTATCTTTTTCGTTAAGCTGTGCGATAGCAAACCATCGATCTCTCCGGCTGAAGGTCGTGTCAATCGGCTAGAGTTGTGAATCTATTGGCATCTGGGTCATGTCAGTCAGTGATCATCGCTTGGAACACAATTATTTCTTTATCGAAAAACAATACGAACAAAAACGAATTATTTGTATGCTAATGAAATGGAAACTTATTATTACCGGTTATTTGTTAGTTATTCTGCGAAAATAAAGACAAAATATAGAAGCAGATACCTACCAGTGTTAGCATATAACCTGACGGTGGCACTTCTGAACAAAGTGTCACTTTAACCCAATTAACTTTTATCGGGTGGGATGACAATAAAACTCACTTTCGCATATTATGTTTGAATTGTGAAACGTTCAGTAGCCATGGCGGGATGCGAACCTACGCATGGACTTAAGCTTGCCAAACAGCACACTTTGTACAATTAACCCTGTTTTAGAAGTTCATTCCGTGGATTCTAAAGTAACCTCTCCTGAGAGTCAGCTGACATGCTAACTGGTGGATTCCATAATCTCTGTGAGTTGAATGCGCTATTCGAATGTGAGAAGATCGATGCTCTCCGTGTGACTTCGTAACTCAACTGGTAGAGCGTGCGATGTACAAAAAGCGTAATCGGCGTCCATGCGTGGGTTCGCATCTCGCCACTGAACTCCTTTCTCACAACTCAAACATACTAAAATCTGCCAAACAACACAGTTTGATCACAGAATCAGTCGTGTATTCAAACTTATGAATACGATGGCAGCTGCTCCCAAACCATATAAATCTTTTATAGATAAACTGACTGAAACCTTCCCAGCTGCATCTTGTGAATCAAGCATGTAGCACATTCTGTAGCACAAATTTTACTGGACTGATGAGTAATCACCTTTTGGGGATCGAGGGCTTATTTCTTTACAAAATCTACGCGAGTGTTCATTCGATCGACAGCACAGACAGGCATCATTTTTATCCTCTTCTGCTCCGTTGATGAACTAAGTGACTCACTTGAAATGATTCGACACAATTGCTTCCCTCCGTCTCTTCTTCTCATTCTGTCTCACACACGTAGACCTCAATCAAAAAAATCTTTCCGCTTAGCTTGTGCTACTGGAATTGTTAGACTTAGTCGTAGTAATGTGGCCGGTCACCACCACCACTAGCACCAGCAGCATCAGCACACGATGGTTTATCCAACTGATTTGCGTATGCGCGTCACCGGCTCCTTCTTCCATGACGCCCTCCTGATCGTGGGATTGGCTCAGTCGATCGTGTGTAACCGGGTTGAAAGTAAATTACAATTATCACGACTAAGACACACGGGGAATACCACAGATTCAGCGAAGTTTCCCTTTCGTCTCCGATGTTTCTTCATTCGCTGTGATTGCCTTATCAATTTGACACGCGTCAAACAAACTGTCTGCTTTTTCCATCCTCCTGTCTTTTCCGCGATTCTCGACCGCAGTACCGTTATCATTTTGGGGGCGCTGCAACTGCCCCCCCCTCCTCCCCCGCCTCACACAGGAAATTTCTTATCGTGACACAAATCACCAAGCCCCCACGTCTTTTTCCCCAACAATATTTTCTCGCCCAAACCCCTTGAGGTTTGTGTGCTTATATACATTCAGTCGCCACCATACGGTTGGAATGCCAAATAACGGATGCGCACACACAGGACGGATGCATTCTATACAACCAGAACGCCGATTGTAAGCTCCGTGGATCTCACTTAACGTAAATCTGATCTCGATCTGATTACTCGCTTGATTATTCGCAATCCCAGTTGAGTTGAGCAAAACGTAAGCATCTTATCGTACGGGATGCGTATATGAATATCAATGCGCTTCTGTAAGAAAGAAATAACTAATATTTAGTACACGTAAATAGGAGATTGGCATACATTGGTAGTGAAAGGGGTAAGTACTCACATCAAGATTTCCCGAGTCCGCGTAAATAAACAACGTAATATGATCCACAGAGATCGTACGTAATAGTCCGATGTGTAATCGATTGTGTGGGACCCTAGTCACCCAGACTGATGGGCTAATGTCACAAGGTCAAGTACATTGATTGGCTGGGTTCACGAATGCGCGATTGGGTCACAGTGGTGAGGTGACAGGCGCGGTGAGTGCATGTATGGTCGTATGACTTGTTGCCTTATCCTAGTGCGTGTCGGCGTCGCATAACTGGTAAGCATTGTCACGGTGTGCGTGTGTTGTCACATGACTGAAGCAATGAATGTGAACATATGCGTAGATAGGATGGGCAGATGTGTGCGTGGGGCTATTATAGCACCCGATCGGGAAGCATGTCGGCCGCTGTCTGATAATTCGCCAGGACCACATCGTAAATCTCCGAGTTTACACCATTGATGAAGCTACGGATGCTACTGTTGTGGTACAAGAAACAGAAAGATACAGACTAAGTTGACGGCGTGGTTCGCTGGTTTGATTGATGTCTCCAATAGACCTGCTTGAAAAGCAAAGTGTTTTCGTGGTTAATATCCACATATAGTTGGTATACTGGATGCGGTTAGAGTTGTTTTGGTGTGTCCTCGAAATCTCAGCCCTCAAAGTGTTCATCGGATTGAGTCATAATTACATTCTATTTCTTGTCTCCTCACTCATCGTCAAGGTTTGGTCGATTCGGGACTAATGTGTTTCCGTAACCACGATACACAAGTTGCTTCAACGTTACTTTTGCTTCTTTGAATGTGCATACACTGCGTGCTTCATGAGTACGCAGTCCAAGAAAAATTGTCTACGTATCTTCAGTCGCCGAAAAGTGTTTTACTGAGGTGATTTACATTCAGTAAATCCATTTCTACCCGACTATTATTATGGTTTTAATAGCAGCGATCAATAAAGCATCGACTCGTTTCGTTATGAAACGAAAGCATTATTGATTTTTATTGATTTGAGCTGACTATCTTTCGGACTTCACTTTTACACACGATCCTCAATTCATCGATTCAACCATACACTCGGAAGCACTAGACTCGAGTTTCGCTCTTATTGAAGCTCACCAGTAGTGCATATTTATTGAGAGCTTGTGCTACTATTCTAGATTATCTTGACCGTTTAGAAACTTTGGACACCACTTTTCTTATCGTATCATCGCCTGACTTTTCCGAATACGGGCGAATAAAATTAACCGGAATAGGAGAAAAATAGATGGTGGTACTAAATACACCTAATTCGCTTTTTCCGAAAAAAACATGCTGACTTAAATACCCAGGCTTGAGGTATTGTGGGGTCATTGATTTGCTTCGCACAGCCGAGTAGTTTTGTGCTTGTTATCACTCTACAGACTCCTAAGAGTTTTGTAATTCGATGACGTATCTTGAGTTTGGGCGATCGGATCAGATCAGCTGGTCATCCTGTAGTCATGATTTACCATCGAAATCAACGAATAGTTTGATATCTCTACCACTCATCAGGTCAGATATCGATCCGTTTTCGTGTGATGTAACTCATCGTAGCTGCAAATAATCCGTTTCTAATCTTCCACCTAAAGTCGCACCGCGCTAATATTTTATTGCATTTGTACCGAATCTTAGATCCTCTTGTATTTTGTACAAGCTTATGTATATGAATTCGTTTGGTCTAAGAGCGGTTGGCTTCTGCTGATTCAATCGGTCGGTTTCTAGCTTAGTATCCATTCCTGAGCACACATCTCCTAGTTCTTTATCTAAGTGTAAATCCTCTGTATTCAGTAAACTATACTTCTCGGTTCTATACCTTTTTCAGTTTAAGATGTCTGAAATCCAATTTAAGATATCCGAGTAACAATTTAAGATATCATGTTGCTATGTTTTCACACTGTATTGTGCAAGGTACTATCCACATAGCAACATGACATCTTAAATTGGATTTCGGACATCTGAAACTGAAAAAAGGTATAGCTCGTGTTTATTTCACGCAGTTCACTTACGTCTTCTTTCACCCCACCCGTTCTTCTGTTACTGTCAATTTTCAGTCTCTTGTCAAACACCCTGCCCCCGTCCGCTAGCCAAGATGGTCTACATGGCTTGTTGACCAGTGGCATCGGGATGAGCGAAGCGTTAGCCATGAATCTGAGCAATGCCTCACCACACGTGACAGCGGCCCGAGCAAATACCATAGGTCGGACAGATGGTCTATCTCCGGTCGGCCTGGGAACTGTCAATTCCGTGGCGGCTGTGGNTGCTGCAGCCGCAGCTGCCAATGCAGCAGCTGGTTCTCCTCCGCCTCCACTTCCACCACCAAATCATCCGGGTTACGATCTTGTCGATACTCGGACCGTAGAATCCCCGTACGGTGGAACACACACAACGGACAAGGTGGTGATTACAGGGACACGTAAATCCAAACGACGCTGTCCCTGGTACTATTGGATCATTAGTATCCTTGTGTTAGCGTTCCTGTTAACTTTGGTCTTGGCGATTACTTTTTCCGGTAAGTTTTTCTCTTCATGCACCGAAATGTTTCCCCTAAATTTACCTCATATTGATTGGTTTAGCTCGAATTTATTACAGTACTCCCTGAGTTCGTTCACTGTTCTCTCTGACGACCAACTGTACCATCTGAACCAGTTTTCCACCCTCGTGCTGTCTCGATCCGAATGAAATGGGTGGTTTCGCATATCCAATGCCGAGGAGGGCAAAGGAAGAGGTGTGATGTGCCTCACACTGAATGTTGACAGTGAACCAGAATCGTCTACCTCCCCCTCGCACTCGTCCCATTTACACCGACTTCCGGTGGTTAACATTATTATTGTTGTTGTCGTTCATCTTCTTCCGCTTATTGTTTATGTCTGTGTCGTTGTTTTTATTCATGTGATTGGCCGACCGACAGCAGAAAACTGACCACTGGAAACACATGTAGCACCCACAGTCAGCTGGGACTAGAGCATAAATTTCGGACGCTCACTTTTCCTCATGTCAAACTTCTTTGTCTGGACATATCATGATCATCCTGTCCATGTGCATGTGCATAAGGGTGTGGATGTTCGCGCCGATGCCTGTTGTATTCTTTTTACGTGAAGCGCCGTACACACTATACCCCTGCCAGACTTGAGGCCACATGCATATCGGGAATCATGATTGTGGGAAACTCTTCTTTCGTGTCCCCTGGGAGGGCGAGTTGTGTTCGACCTCGTCTGGACAGGAGTATTCCGATCCGCATAGATGACTCCTCGTTGAAGCTCTGCTCACTTCTTTTTGGTCCTTCTCGATGCTCGTGTTCCCATGCCAGCTTCCTGCGTACCGACCATCAATGTCTGTCAGAGGTCATCTCTTGTCTGAAACACAGTGAAACTGAATGTGAGGTCTACGGAGTGTAATCATTCGGGCAGCACTCCCCATATTTATGACTCGCCGATCTGGGAAACGCGTACATTTCACTGGTTTCCCAGTGAACGAAATGACTACTCCTAGACAGTGTTTGATGTTAAAATTTAAAATATTCATACAATTAGTAGGAAGAGTGCTTTGCATTTTATCGTTGCACATCAACAACAACTTGTTCCCGGGATCAGCACTATTGATCAATTTACTCCTTTACGGTCGATATTTAGTTCATCATTTTCGAACGGAATTAATCCCCCAAATCACATATTGCTTTCCCGGCAGTGTTTATTTACATCTGAAAAGTCCTAAACTCGTTGCTGTGAAACTTAGCATTCGCAACATGCCGTGTAGAACACAGTCTTCACACATCCCTAAATATATGGATGTAAGAGAGNATGTAAGAGAGAGAGAGAGAGCTGATTATCGGTCCAAACGCTCTCTTTTCCCATAGCCCCTCACACAACCAGACAAGAATTTAGATTACCTGAGAAAACATTGAAGTTTTATATCCAACGAAATGGCATGCTGATCGACAAAGAACGCGAACAGCTGCAGCGCGCATTGTCTTTGTGTCCCCGGGTGGCAGTCGAAAAGCAAATGTTCTGTTTTTAGGCTAAAATCCTTACACCTGTACTACTCAGTCGATAATCATCATCTTGAGCGCATCTCTTTGGAGATTTAATTAGAAATTACTTTGAATTGCGCAGACACGGGGATCTGCGTATTGAGTGTAATTTCTAGCTCTCGCTCTCTTCCATGTCTATCCCTTCATCCTTCTCATTCGTGG